AGTGTAGCTACTAACACCGTTATCAAGCAAATGATGTACAATACTAGAGGCAAGGTATATATATACATAGTAAAGTTGAACAGTAAGTGATTGATGTTTGCACAATTAATGAGGTTGATGTACAAGGTTGGAGGATGTTTACACAAGAAGGCAATTGTTACACAAAGTAAGCTATGGGGGATTATTGGGAGGAAGCCAGTGATATGACAGACAGGAGAATAATGGGATTAAGATTGCTTGGGGATGAGTTGATTGTAGGCAGTGGGGATGTAATATCCTTGGTCTCTGTTCATGGCCGGGTGGAGTTTCTTGATGTGAATGGCTTCTAGTAGCTTTCTGATTTTGTACCGGTCGTGATTACTTGTGAGTACATTGATGCTGTTCCATAGGATGTTGTGGTCTGGGTGAGCTTGGGTGTGGTCAGAGATGGCGGATTTGGAGTCTTTCTTCTTCACAGAGGATTAATGTTCTTTCATTCTTACAGGGAGGGGTCTTGAGGTTTCACCAATGTACGAGGCTCCACAGTCACATTTTATGTGGTAAACTGTGCCTGTAGGGTCTTCTTTAGTTGTGGGGGTTGGTCTGCCATTGGCTTTTAGGATGTTCTGTATAGTAGTACCTCTCTGGAACACATCCAGAGTCGGCTGATCTGGTGGCTGGCTGAACCTATATAGGGCAGGCTTATGACGAAAAGGCAAAGATGCTGAAGTTCAGCTTCCAGTTGTTGTGATGAGGAGCTGATGTTTTTGGCACGTCGGGTTAGTATAGCTATTATTCCTCTCTTGACTTGTGGGGGATGGTTAGATGAGTGGTGAAGATCTGGATCAGTATGGGTGGGTTTACGGTACACACTGGTCTGGAGCTCACTGTTCATCACACCAACTTCTAAATGCCACTCAAACAAGTTAACCACTGTAGTTGCCCACATCATCAGATTAGGAGCCACCCACTCTCTTATGAATCTTATAAGATGACGGACAGTCTGCAGTGCAACATATTGGCCAGACATATCCCAGATAAGGGCAAAATTCGTGCAGATGCGTCATCACACCCGGACAATATTTTGACAACAGAATGTACACTTCAGGCAGATAGCAATCAAATGTAAACAACCTCTAGATCTGTTTGCAACATCTCTCAGCAACCTGTTGCCAACCTATTTAAGTCCAGTCCCAGATTAGTCCAGTTATACTGGCAAAAGGGGTAGAACAAATTGCAATAAAAACAATTTTTGCTGAAACATGTAAGTAGGGTTGTGTACTTTTAACGTATCAAAAGTATAGAAAAGTATCGTGAACGATTTTGTTCGAAAAAGATGCCAAATCGTGTACATCTGATACTGAAAAACAAATGGCTGCTGTTACTCGCTGTGTTTCCGTATATTGCATCATGTAAACAAGATGGCCGATCAGTGCACCGTCGCTGGCAGCTCAACGCAACCAGGGTAATTGTTTTCACACATTTACAAGTTAACTGGCATCATTAATATCTAATATATACATAACTTGCATATATTATCCCTCAAGGCTGAGAATCATTGACGTAGTGGATACTGAATGATAGTTCGCTTCGACCTGTTGACGCCATCCAACGTTCATGATACACAGTAGAGATTTCACTTAAAAGCGACGCAAATACAAACAGTGAGACATAATTTGACATGTTATTACTTTCTAATTGTTAGAAAAGGGGGAAAAAGCTTTATTCATTACCAAGACATCCCGTATAATCTGAAATATTAGCACAGACTTACTCTGTTTGAATTTTCAAACTATGGAAGCCTATTAGGACCATATCTTTTCTCAAATTCATCTGTTTTTAGACCAGTTTTATGCGATTTGTTCGGTTCAGTGCATGAGCAGAAGTACTATAAAGTATTGAGGGCACATTTGAATATTTCCACAAAAAATACATAACTTCTGTTAAACGGACAGGTCGAGTGGGGTATTTTTTTGTGGAAACAAAATTCGAGGGGATCTTCCTGTTTGCACATATACGATATTGTTACATGAGTCCATCTCATGACTTTATATGTCACTATTATGTGATGTGAATTATGCACATTCATTTGAAAAGAAACACAACGAGCAATGAAGCCATTCATCAGCGCTGAATGCAGTGAATTCCTACCCAAAACGATGAGCGAACTCGTACCCACTTTTTTATTTAGGATTATTAGTAAATTGTTATGTAAATCATTAAACTGTAGTGATAAATAATTATTATTTTTACATCACTGTCACATAAATAATGTTATTCAATAATTGAAATTGATGATTTGGTAATGTTCACGTTTGCAGTTTCACGTTAAACGGAAAGCCAAGTTGCACTGATGATTCCTCGTGGGACAAAGTCGTTTACGTAATAAAAAAATAACGGGCAAAAGAAACGATACCAAAATTTAATTCTATAATTTTGTAGGTAGTTATGAGCTTAAAACAAATGCTACAATGCTTCCCTAACATTTATCATGAAAAGTGTTGTGCTTGAGCGAACAGTATCACTGCAACAGGTCGTGAAGCACGAAAATCTTGTGAACGGATTTGCACGAAGCACGTGCATCTTTGGGGTATAAGAGTGCACACAAACCTTCCTCTACATCAGACCTTCAAGTTAACTTCAGCGACCATGCCCTGATTATCGCAAGAATCCAGAGAGAGAGAGCCATTGGAATGATACAGATGGGTACCACTCATGCACATGTTGCAGCTTACCTTGGGCTGTACACGCCTAACCATCACGCAGGCTGATGACCCGCTACAGGCAAACAGGGCAGACAGTAGACAGGCCCAGAAGTGGAAGACCTCGCCTCACCACCCCCAACGAGAACCGCTACTTACGTATCCTGCACCTGAGATACTGTTTCCTACCTGTGACGTCATCAGCAGCGACTGGGCTTGGACATCCTATCAGTCACCGATTGAACACTTGTGGGACCATTTGGATCGTCAGATTCGCGCTTGAGCCTTTGTTCCTGGAAACCGATGTCAGCTTGTTTAAGCCCTTCAAGAGGTATGGCGAAGGATCCCTGCCGAAGGTATACGGCATCTGAGGTTCTCAGCATGTCGTAGAGTTAAGGCTTGCATTTATGCCCACTGTGGACATACCAGATACTGACAACCTATGTTATTTTGTTTACATCTGTGATCGAATACTGGACATTTCATTCCTTCATTTATACAGTGACTCAATGTTATTGTTGCTACTCGAAGGAAATGACAGTGCATGTTGCCCATACACCTGTTATTAAAATTCACTGTCCTTTTTCATAATGGTGGTTTGTTGTTTTGTAATATCAGTGATTTCGACATGGTATCGTTTCTTTTGCCCGTTAGTTTTTTATCCAGAAAAAAATTAAGCTTATGAAATTATAAAAATACGTCATATAGTAAAAATGCACGTATGAAGATCGGTTTGCCTTAATTGGAATTCTAGGTTCACTTGATTAATTAACATGTTCAACATGTTCAGTGTCGTTTAACTTCTGACTTGATCCACTTTGTTTAAAAAAAAATCTTCTAATTGTTTGATCTGCATTCTAGAAGTTTGTGAGTCAAATATTAAGCATACAACTATGTTTTCAATGGCTCTCCAACCCTCGGGACCATCCTCCTAGCCAACTCTTTTGTAAGGTAAAACCTCCTGTCCCGTTGATACACGAATAAAACCCCAACAGCCAAAGCAGACAGCAAATCAGCCCTCTCCGTTCACCGACAGAAATTCCCTACCCATCAAATCAAGATTGACAAATTCGAAATCCAATCAACCAAGAATCAGGACTTCACAAAAAGAAAACTTTTGGAAGCCATCGAAATCCGCTGCCACAAACCTTTGATCAACAGAGACCAAGGATACTAAATACCATCGGCCTATGAAGCATTAATCAAACTATAGACTCTATCAAAGCACTCTATCAGTTTGTTATTACAACTACGGCATGATAAGACAGAACAGTCTAATGAACAATTAACTGTAGCATATGAGGCTATTCTAACAATATGTATGTTTTATTATAAATAATGTGAAGAATTGGTGAAAATATATTTCACACAAAACACGAGTTACCTCCCCTAACAAAATAACAATCTTCCACTCGAATTGTCCCTTTAACAACACTGTTTATTTATGGAGTTTATAGACCGTAATTCAAAACGTTTCATTGCATCATTTGAGGTTTGTTTAAACACACTTAATTACATTCAGTAATTATTATCAAATTATATGTTAGGTGAGTGTACCTACTACATTTTCTGAGAATCATATTACAGTAATTAAAGTTCGTGTAATAGGGTAAATACTTACATAAATGTTTATTTTCATACTGTCTGGTGTTCAACATACACATACAATGAAATGATAGTTGGAAATCCTTCGGTAACGGATACACAGATCAGCCTGTTGTTATATATATATTTATAAACTAGTAAGATGTAAAGAGAATTATAATCTTATTACTTGTATTTATTTAAATATGGTAAATTTGATGTTTTTAATTACAAATCATCTATATCATGAATAAGTTGATCACTAAAAATTGAATTTATGTGATAAATGCCCTTTTACGTGACATATCTCTGCGTAGTGTACTCATTCAATCGCTTTTGGGATGAATTAAAATGCACGTGCGTTTTAGCGGGAAAAATAAAATTTGCGTTCATTATACAGTCCTATACTTTTATCTTAAAATACATATTATGAGGATTACAAGACAGAAGAGTTAGCTTTTATTGCAATTTGTTCTAGGTTGAGGTGTATATGAGCTAGAATGACTGGACTAGATCCTCAAGATTATTTAGTGGATGCCATGTCAATAAATTGGGAGGGAATGATTGCCAGGCAATCTTCTGTCACTAGACAGTTTGTCTTACTAAGCAATCCTGTCTTATCTAGCAATTCTGTTTTACTGAGTGGTCCTGGTTTATAATTACTAATTGTTAACAGCTCTTTAAAACATTAGTAATTTTGTGTTCCTTTAGAGAGTAATCCATGTACATTTTCAGACATCCATGATGAATAACAACTTTCCAAGTGTGAAAACCTATTCAACAAAATGGCAGCGGTCTTACAAGTTATATCATGAGAAAGAAGGGCTTTTTGACAGAGTACAAGGCAAGTCGTTATCTGTGATCAGCAGTCCATAATGTTTGTTATTAACATTTTATTATTGAAATAATGTACACATTAACAAGTTAATTCCATAATATCAGGTAAGTTGTTCTTTTCACATTGTGAGCTGCAATCGGGATGAAAAGTAATTCACAATAATTCCTGTGAATACATAACTCTCTTATATGGGCTGTCATCTTTGTATTTTGTCATAACTTAATAAAAATCTTTTAGACTTTCAATAGAAGCCCCAATCATTTTCAGCTGATCTTTATCATTTGTGTAGTGATAGGCTTTCCTCCACCATTGGTCAAATCAGGAATACCTCTAAAGTTCATGCACCATTCTTCATCGCTAATTCCTGTGCTATGTGTAATTTGTCATGCTTTCTTAAGCATGATGTCTTCAATCAGTGGTTATTTCGAGAATATGTGCACATGATCCTTCAGCACTTTATGCCTGACAACACAACTAATAACATTCAGCTGACAACTATGAGAACTTGTGAATAAAATCCAGGATTTTTATGGGGTGATGAAAATACAGGATTATACTATAGCAATGATGTGTAAGTGGCAGACTGCTTAGAATTATTAACCATGATAAGTATTCTCATGTGTTGTTAAGTTATCTGAAATGTTTCAAGTACAGAACAATCGTATGAATACTAATTTTGATGGGAAAAATGAAATATGTTAAGCTGTTTGTGGATGACAAACTCATTAGTTGGAGGACAAGACATTTCATGGATTACTTTTTCATAAAATGTGATGTTAATCAGTGAGTTTGTTGCTTTGCAGCACAAACAAGGAAGAATACGGGGCACAGAGATGATGCCAAAAGGTAGGGAACCATTCAGTGACATCATCTGTTTCAGGAGATTCAATTAACAACCTTCAACCATCATGCATTAATATATGTATATATGGTAATTTACTATTTTTTTACCAACAAAACAAGTCACTTGTGGAAGCAACATTGGCGGAGTGGATTAGATAACTGACTATGTGAGCTGGTGATTAGGTGCCTGACTCTGAAAGAGATTTGGTTCGAATCATGGATTGGACTCAACCTAACAAAAGTACAAGAAAGGATGTGATCAGATTACATGGACAGTGTTTCTCAACGTAAAACAAATGGTTTACATAATTCCCTGCAAAGTTTGCCTCAAACATCTTTGGTTTTACAGTGGAACATTTTCACACAGACAGTAGAAACGTTAAACAATACTCTTTATATAGAGCAACAGGTAACCGTCAATTGTTTGTCCTCAAGATTATGAACTTTCATATTGTTTCTATTTTAGTGATGCTGTGGAGAAGACTGTGGACAATGGATCCCAGCAATGTTCTGCTTCAATGAGTTCAGCCAAAAGGGTATGACAACTTCACATCTATAATGTTCCTCCATTAGTTCCTATTGTCATACTTCATTTCTCAGGGGTGGAAATAACTTTAAAATTGCTAGTATACTCCGGTACAGTGGCACATGTAAAATCACTTGTCCTGATCATTTTTCCACTATACCGGCTGTTTTCTTGTTGATATTTTAAATAAACAACATTATTAACATTGGAAAGTCAACTGGACGCCGGTACAGTGTGATATACAAATTTTCTTGCCCGACAGAAAAAAAACACTGGACTCGGACGTCGGGCAATAGGTTATTTCCACCCCTGTTTCTACATTGGTTGTAGAAAATATAATAAAACTAATATAGATAATACAGTATTTGAGAGAGACTGTGGATGTTAAATAGTACACTATTGTAAGTATTTGAGAAACACTGTATGCTTGTATTAGGTACACTATTGTAAGTATTTGAGAAACACTGTATGCTTGTATTAGGTACACTATTGTAAGTATTTGAGAAACACTGTCTGCTTGTAAGTATTTGATTTGAAAACACTGTATGCTTGTATGCTTTGTATTATTTGAGAAACACTGTATGCTTGTATTAGGTACACTATTGTAAGTATTTGAGAAACACTGATTGTTTGTTGTGTGTACACTATTGTAAGTATGACATGCCCAGTGGGATGTCGCTATCGGCTCTGTAATCACAAGCATTCAGCAGTGATTACAGCGATAGACAAACTCTTAGACAAGGAAGCTGTTGAACCCTGTGGATCCTGGGCTAGGGTTCTTCACTCTGGTGTTTCTGGCTCCCAAGAAGGATTCACCAGAACTCAGAATGATCATTGATCTGAAGATCCTCAATCGGGAATGTCTGTGACAAACACACAAGCTGCAGATGAAGTCCATAAAGAATCTCAGGCAGATAATTTCTATTGGGGACTCTATGATGCCCATAGATATGCAGGACGCATATCTTCACGCACCTATCCATCCAGACTCTCAGAAGCATCTATGCTTAGCTGTCAATGATGATAACAGCCCTGGTTCTACAACGTGTAAGGATTCACGCATATCTAGATGATTCACTGTCTCCAAATGTCAGTGTAGATGATTCTTTAAATCACTCACTTTATCTGAAATTTCTTCGGGAATTTGGGAGTCCTAGTGCATCAGAACTTCAGCCCAAGTTTGTACAGAAGTACATGAGGTCCATATTTGACACTCATCAAGGTATTATTTATCCCACATTGGAACGCTATCAAGATATCACAAGCAGGATATCATAGTTCCCAAAATGTCCGGACACTCTATGGCACTGTTTTCTATTGTGAGTGCTCCCATCTATGCAGGATCTAACATTCAGGGGCCATCAATATCTCAGATTCAATCTGATGAATCAACATGGACAGGAACAGCTAGACTTATAGACTTATAGGAGATATCATAAGGGGAAAATTAAGCAGGCAAAGTGGCGCCAAGGAATCCCAGATATAGATGTAGATGTTATGAACATGTGACTGAATACTTACGTATTAGTTTTCCATTACTATCCATGCTGTCACGGTGAATAAACGTGTACAACTTGCCTGCGTTGATAACAAACAGCGCAGAATGCTCTTCGAAGTACCTGTGAAGGAGCAGCCATAATCGCTTCGCTTTCCTACAGACTGTCGCATGCTTTGCAAGCGGCCATAATAGTCCTCGCTTTCCTTCAGACTGTCGCAAAACTAGATTGTGTAATTATAAGGAAACGTAAACAAGGGTTTTATTTACGGTTTCCATAAAATTATAATACACTGTGTCGGGCAATGACGCTTAATGTTCCCCATGGTTATTAAACATCGATGCTTTGCACGGGTAATCTGCCGTGCGTAAATGTGTGAAACTTTTTGGCTAAAATAAACATGTTCTTTAAAAAACTAAACTCACTCACTCACTCACTCACTCACTCACTCACTCAACTTGTGATTCACAGCATTTAAGGTACTTCAGTAGTTTGTATCGCCAACACTGAACTTGTGGGCTGTTCAAAGTGAATTTGTGAATCGAGAGCAGGTATATATACTGGAAATACACCTAACACCTCGATAAAGGTCACATATAAAGTTTTAAAATCCATGCAAACTGCACAAGACTGAAATGTTGGCAAAAGCGCATTACTCTTTGGGAATTGCAAAGCCGGCGAGTGGGTGGTGTTGAAATATTTTACTAGCGCTTCCTTCAGCTAGACCAGAGTTACCCCCCTTAGACCACAGCTACAACTTTTACCATGACCCGGAATGCTCATTCATTGACAATCTTTAAAAGCTGCCTAAAGACATACCCCTTACAAAAGATTGAATTACAATGAAGATATAACACCTCTACTGCACTGTATTTTAATTTTGTGTAACGCTATGGGTTTTTGGCACATAACACCTGTGCCATTCGACGGAAAGAATCACATGATGCTCTCATCATGAACAGAAAATGATCAGCAAACGTTTGAGATACATACTGCAAATTTTCATTGTGCTCTCTACAGAACCAATAAAGATAGCAACTATACAGTGAGGAAAATAGAATTTCACTGGTCCCTCTGTTGTCTTTGAAAATACACTTAGACAAATTATTTGTTACTTCAGTATCGTTTAGCTTGTGTTTAGCTTGTGTTTATATCTGCATCGCGTGGACCACGCTTTGCAGTGGTAGCTGGACAGCTCTTTGCGTCATTGTCAATTGAAATTGAACACAAATGACGTCATCGATCGGCCACGTTCTGGACGTCCACGTGTAACAACGCCAAGACAGGACATATGGATAAGGGTGACCCATCTTCGCCACAGGTTTCAGACTGCAGTGATGACTGCCCGAACCATCCCAGGACTTCGCCGTATCCACCCCAACACAGTTCGACAATGTTTACGTCATCACGGGATCAGACCATGACGTCCCGCCATACGGCCTATCCTGACACAACGTCATCGACAAGCTCGCCGAATGTGGTGCCGAAATCATGTGCCGCAGACCCTTGTTTTGGTGGAGAAATGTTGTGTTTACGGATGAGTCAGGTTTAACATTTCCCATAGTGATGGACATCAACGTGCCTATAGACGCGTTGGAGAACGGGCCCGTGTCTTCGAGAGGAATCACTTTGGTGGTGGTTCCATGATGCACCGACTGCCTCGCCGCTATATCGGAACTACCCACCCTATTCCAACCAGACAGCCTTACCTGCAAGTGCTGTGCCACAGACCACTGCGTCGGCAGCCAGAAATGCATTCTTTGCAAATACAAAGAGATATAGTACCTAGTTTGTACCTAGTTTGTCTAGTTCGCCTAGTTTTTGCCTAGTTTTTCACATAGACAATTGTGCGAATGCAGATATATAGTACAAAAAATGCCTCCGAAAAACAACTATCGCAAGACCAAGTGGAAGATATTCGCAAGATGCGATTGCAGGAGCGCAAGATCTCTGAAGAGATATGCAAATAGCTACAAAGCCCATTTCCTCCTCCCCTGCTAGGAGGTAAGGTTGTCTGGTTGGAATAGGGTGGGTAGTTCCGATATAGCGGCGAGGCAGTCGGTGCATCAGTTGTGTGTGTCCTTTGTTTCCGGACAGTCGGTGAGAATGGTTTGGAGTTTGCCTGCTGCAGGTCGAAATTGGTTGGGCGGGTAGATGTAGACAAAATCGACTATTTTGCCATCTTCTACGAATTGGCGAAAGTACAGCAAATAGAGTTCGAGAAACTGTCTAGGGATCTGGTATCGCTCATAGAAGGTGTGTCCTGATTGCTCCAAGATTTGTTTGTCCTTGTCAGAAAGCAAGACATGGGGACACTTCTCTAGCAGGGTCTCAAAGAACTCTGCAATGTCAGAAGTTGACTTGGAGCTGCCCCGGATTTGCATAATTATATCTGGCTTGCGATATGTGGTACGTCCACTTCGCCTCCCGAAGGGACAAACGACCCAATCGGATCACGGCATTTGCTTTGCGTGATAGTTTGGTTCCTGGCATTGTTCTATACCTATGTACCTGTATATCTCTAATTGGAATGCACCTTCGCCGGGGGTTTTCTTGGGGGAAGCCCTGTTTGGAAGAGGCGTAGTAACAACACAATCTAGTGTAGTGGTCCAAACCCCCAATCAACATATTGTTGTTGTTTTCTGTGTTGGACTCCATTTTGTTTTCCGTGTACCTGTCTTGGTGTTGGGTCAACTGTTGGGGGGAGGAGATCAAGGTAGACAAAAAGTGTCTCTATATACTCAAATGTAAGAATGCACCTCTTCTTCCCCCCCCCCCCCCTATTTTAATACTATTTTTCCTTTGCACGGTTTTGCCACCATCGTATATACTACTATCAATGTAAACATATATATTGTATATCAAGTGTAATTTTTCCTTATCCTGACTCATGCTCTTTTGCTTGTCTTCTTCTTCTTGCGAACATAGTTGAACACTTGTATCTCCTATTGAAGCTCCCTTCAATAAAGAATAGACGTAAAATCACTCCTACCAAGAGTTATCTCTCCAGCTGTTTAGGCGGGAAACTGTGGCGCCACCGTGCCCACATGCCTCACTCTCTCCTTCTTCGCCCTGTGGGCAGGTTGTGAGAGCACCTGTGTCTCCTATACGGCACTATATCCTTTAATTAATTAGTTATTCTCCTCTATTCTACTTTTATAGAGGTTAAGTTAGTATCCTACAACAATATGGTTGGATATTTAATCGTATTTAGCACTGTTTATTCACGGTATTGTCCGTATTTGTTCAGTTGTTTACATTTCATGATAACCTATTTTCGTTGTTGGTTTAGATTCGCTGCTGCAGACCCGCGTTGATTGTGCCCTAGCTGCACAACAATATGTACTTCCAGCTATAGCAGTAATCTTTATCAGCTTTTAATTGAAATTCAAATTAATATATAATTTTTCTCCATACTTAGACGTACTATCAACTATCCAGGTGACTTCCAAGTCATGGGTAACTGGCTGAGTCCCTCATGAGCTGTCTACTGCTATAGACGACTTAATACCAT